CACTCGCTTCCGCAGGGGCCGCCCAGCCCCGAGCCGGACTTCTCGGTGTTCAGGGACTTCATCAGCCGCAAGGTGGCGCTGGCGGACGGGGACCTGTCGGTGCCGCCCTACGACGCCTTCCAGACCTACGCCTTCGAGGGCGCGGACTCGCCGGCCGCCTCGCTCAGCTCGCTGCACAGCGGCTCGTCGGGCTCCGAGCAGGATTTCGCCTATCTCAGCAGCTGGGGCCCGCGCTTCCGGCCCCTGGCCGCGCTCTACGCCGGCCACCGCGCGGACGACGAGGCCCAGGCCTCCTAGCGCCCCCGTCCTGCCGTCGGGGCGCGCCTCCAGGCCCACTGAGGGCCCGACGGGGCCCCGGGACCCAGCATTTCCCCTGCTCACCCCCTTCCCCAGCTCTCCCACCCTCCCAGGGCGGCCGGACGGGAGGGAGGACTCGTTGGGGGCGGACACCCCGACGCCCCCTCTGGCCCCCCACCCCCCCTCCCAGGGGGTGGGGTGGGGCAGCTTTTGCCCAGACATACGGGAATTACCACCAACGTCATTAAAACTGCAGCGAGACCCGGCACTGCGTGGCTCTGGGGTGAGAAGGGGGGATAGGGCCGCGTTGCTGGGTGGAGAAGGGAGGGGGTTACTCACTCCTGGCAGGTGAGGGAGGAGGGAGGACGCTGCCGAGGTGTCCCCCCTCCCAGGTCTCCCCCATCGGAGTTAAGAGAGAAGGAAGGCTGTTCATTTACTAAGCGCCTACTGTGTGCTGGGACACTGCAGAGACCATCTGTTTTCACAGAAACCATGAGGTGGGGCCCTGCAGGTAACAGAGGGAGAAGGCCACCCAGAGAAGTGGCTGTGACCTGTCCAAGGACACCTAGCCAAAACGGTAGAGCCTCTGGCACTTAACTTACCAAGCTGCCTGGCCTTGGGCAAGTGACCTCACTTCTCTGGGCCTCAGTTTCCTCCTGTGTCACATGAGGCTAATAACAGAACCTACCTCGAAGAGTCCTGAGGATTAAAAAAAGGGTTCGTATGTGTCACGTGGTTAGGACAGTGCCTGGCACATAGTAGGTGTTCAATAAATGTTAGCCTTTGACACTATTGTTATCTTTGTCGTTATTAGAAGCCCACCGCGTCTGCCTCCCCTTATGGCTCTCTCTGTGACCAGTCTCCCTCCCCCTTTCCCCAACATCTCCAAGGGAGAAGAAAATGGTCCCAGCTGTTGGCCCTGCCCCTGCCCTGAGTAGGGAATAGGGACATTCTCAGGGACAGTGGAGCCTTCCAGAGTCTCAGGTGGGACTGGGAGAGAGAGGACCCCTGGCAGGGGTGCCGAGAGGAGAACCTGGGCAGCTCTAGGACTTGGGTGAGGTGAGAGGGCTGGCAGGGGGTGGAGGGGCCAGAAACCACTGGGTGTAATGGGGACCTTATTTGTTCGGTACAGGAGCCCATTAGTCTCCCCATTCATGGACCCCAAGTTAAGACAGGGCTAAGTCGTCTTTAAGAGCCTCCAGCTCTAAAACCATTTGATTGGTTAATTGTCCTCCTGCCCCACCTCCAAGTGATTCATTCATCCCGCATTGATCTGTTGTAAGTTCCAGCCCTGCTAGCTGGGCAGCCTTCATCAAGGTCCTCAACTGCTGAAGCCTCAGTTTACTCATATGTAAAATGGGGCTAATGATAGTTCCTCCCTTAAAGGGTTGTTAAGAGGCTTAAAGGAGCTAATGAATGTTAAGCTCTGATCCCAGTGCCTTCCTGACGCCTTGCAAGTGCTCAATAAATGTTCATTAGCGGTTTTTTTTTTTTTTAAACTCTTCCAGGGAACATTCATTGATTCCCTCCACATTTGCCAAGGTCCACTGTGACACATCCAGAGATGGTCATTCTGTCCTGAGTGCCTTGTCATTTCATCTAAGTTAGATACTGTCGGCCCCACATCACAGGTGAGGAAACTGAGGCACAGAATGTCGTAGTGCACCCAAGTTTACACAGGTCATAAGTACTTCCTGCCTTCCAGCCAGCCAAGGCCCCACTGGGCCGGGTGCGGTGGGCAGACGCAGCCAATCATAATGCACTTGATAAGAGTTGTAGCAGAACTAACAGAACAAGGTCCTGCCAGCACTGAAAAAAGATTGAATCATTTGTGGAGGGCTTCCCGGAGGAGGTGACTCCAGCTGGATCGTAAAGAATGAGATGTACGAGATGACCAAGCAAGCAAGAGCATTCCAAGCAGAGGGAAGAGCATATTCCAAGGCGATGATGGGGCGGAGGCCGGAAGCCTGTGGTGGTTCCGGGGACAGTGTATGGTCCCATGGATCAGCGGGTGGAGAAACGGTGAGATGTGAGGCAGGGAAGGCTGGTTGGAGGCAGGAGGGGAAAGGACATAAAGTCCAGGCCAACAAACCTTCCTCAACTCGAGCATGTCTGCTGATGTCCATTGAGGGTGGCTCATGGCAGGTATATGGGCTGAGTGAGGCAGTCCCAAATGGGGTGGTATTGGGACCCTCCTCCCATGCAGGACACTTGGCCCATGGTTCCCATAGCTCTTCTACAAGTGGGCACGGTAACAGGGCCCTGTGGGGAGACACGCCATTCCCTCCCTCACCCGCGTGTACTCCACTGTCACAGAATCCCGGCGACATTTCTCAGATTGATTATTGCTGTCTCCATTGTAGTGGGGGAAACTGAGACCCAGAGGAGGGAAGTGACTGGTCACTTGGCCTGGCTGGTACAGGACAGAGCTGGGACAACAGAGGACCCCTCATTCCAAGTCTCTGTTCTTTGCACATGTGCTGGTTGCCTTGACAGAGTCTGACCCTGACAAGAAAGAGGTTACATGCCCAGAGGGACGTACAAACGGGCCTCCTTGAATATCTTGTCCAAACTCCACACATGCGGGATGACCTTCCCAAGGCCACACAGAGTTTTAAAGATCTTGCCAGAAATCAAGAACATTATTCATCCAGATTCACCTTCTGAGCCTCGGGCTCTACCATTTACCAGCTGTGTGGCTTTGGACGTACCATTTGCCCTCTCTGTGCTTCCGTTTCCTTATCCATAAAGTGCCCACGCTGAGCACACCTGCTCCATAGGGTTGTGGCGAGGATGAAATGCTGTCATGACTGGAGATACTGAGCCTTTCTCACGTGCCAGGCACTGCCCAAAGCATGTCATGGTGAACGAACCCATCTAACCCCACAACCACCTGATAAGCAGCCCTCATGTTATGGGTGAGGAACGGAGGCACAAAAAAGGTTGAATACCTTGCCCAAGATCAAACAGCTGATAAAGAGAGATGCCAAGACTTTAGCCACGTGTTCTGGCCCTCGGCACCCGCACCCTCAGCGGCACGCCCAGTGGCCGGCCCATAGGAAATCGTGAACGAGTGGCCCGGACACATCGGGATGTCGCTGCCTGTGCCCCGGGAGAGCTTGCTCTCCGCTCCCTGCTGCGGTCTCTGGCCCGTGGGAGGCCTCAAGCCTCCCCATGATTTCTTCCAATTCCGGGGTGGGGTGTGGAGGCGATGCCTCCCCCGTCTCCTCTGCTTCCGGCTCCTGTGGCCACACTCACCATCCCCACTGGACTCTGAGCCAGTCCAAGAGGGAAGTCCAGTGGGTCCAGCTGCTGCGCTGGGCTCCGCGAGGCGTCCACTGATGCCGAGCATTTTGCGAGCAACTGTTCTGATGAGCTGGGGGGCGTGGAGAAGGGTCCTGTTGTGGAGCACACGGCCTCTCGCCATCTGTCTCCCGGGTTCCCACCGAATTCCCCCCGGGGGGAGCTCCAAATCCTCTCCCTGTGCCAGGCAGAGAGCGCGGCCACCCCCCCGGCTCTAGGCTCTCGCTGGCCACACCCAGCTCCATCAGGGAGCTCAGAACACAATGAGCGTTCCATTTACCATGTCTGCCCTCTCTGCCAGGCGTCTGGGGAAATGAAAAGAATCCCCCTTTATTGTCATCATCTCCGTCCCCGTCCTCATCACAGGACAGAAGGGGATTCGGGGTCACGAGCAAGAATTGGCATGTAATTGGCCAAGGATTTTAGAACCAGGGACGTTAATGACCGCGACGGTGATGGTAATGACGGTGACGGTGACAGCCCACTTGCCTGGCGCTTGCTGCGTGCCCTAAGCCCTGTTCTGAGCCCTGAACATAATTATCACAAGCACAGGTAAAAGCCATGGAGGGTGGGCTCTGTGTTTACTGTGTTCGGCTCATTACGTAAGTTGCAGTGTTGAATTGCAAACAAGTCGGTGATTAGCCCTAGTTTACAGACGAGGGATCCAGCGCTCGCAGAGGAGTAGAGGCTTGCCGGAGGCCACAGAGCTTGTAAGGGCGGGACTGTTGCACGCACACCGCCCCTCGATTCTGCCCAGGACCCGGACAGCTCAGATTCGGAGTGGAGTTTTGGGGCTGGGGGCGGAGAGAGGAGCAGCTGGTGAGGAGGGGGGGGGGCCTGCAGACAGATGGCCGAGCCGGGAGGCAAGGTGGCAGTGGGGCCGGGGCTGCGGTGCGTGCCCAGCTCTGCATCTCCGGGGCGTCCTGATGTGCGTGTGTCTGCATGTGGCTGTGGGCACGCACCGGGGAAGTGGGAAGCCAGCACTCAAGCACACAGGTCAAGAACTAACCTCCCGCCTCCCGATTCCGGATTCCGGGGGCCGGCGGCCCAGAGAGCCGGCTGCTGTCCTAGGGGGCGGCTAAGCGCCCGCATCCGTCAGCCGGCCGTCATCGCGGCCCACCCCCGGGTCACGAATCAGCAGCTCCACTTACCTCCTGCCAGCAAGCGCTCTCGGGCCAGCTCTGTCACTGGCCGCTGAGCCTTTGGAAAACGTAACCCTGTCAGCCCTCACTCTGAGGCGAGAGGGTTTACGCTTCAGTGCCTGCACATGAGTGTGGGAACACGGCCACGTGCCCATGCCGGCTGGTGATGCATGCACATGTGGACCCCCAGACACGCTCCTACCTGCGTGCACGGTGCAGACGTATGCATGCTCACAGCCATGTACACAGAGCGTATCTGCAGCTCTGCAAATGTGGTCACATGCCCATACACTGCACGTGTACTGGAGGCAAGCTCTCACGTGCACACTCCCATTTGTACACAAACCATACACACGCCTTCTGTAGCTGTGTTCTCTTACACGCGTGTGCATGTGTGTCCGCTGGTACGCTTCCATCTTCCCCTCCAGGCGTGCACCCATGCGCATTCATGGCACCCCCACGCAGTAACCCCACACATGTATGTGTATCCCCTCAGACGTGCACATGCACACGAACCCATAGCTCCATGCACACATTCATAGTGCATATGCACAT